TCGATCGCAATACTTTCCCTTACCCCTTACGATGTATTACATATATATAGCATTTCCAAGTCAATTTCAACCTTTTCCAAATCAAATTCAACCTTTTCCAAGTCAAATTAAACCTTTTCCATTTCAAATTAAACCTTTTCCAAGTCAAATTCAACCTTTTCCATTTCAAATTCAACTTTCGAATTTTTGTCAATTTTCGATTTTTTTCGAAATCAAGGCCACTTACTATATTAACGAAGGTATAGCTTTTGAAAAATACAAAAAAAATTTTGATTTTGGTTGCATATCCATTTATTTTAACATTTTAGATTTTTTCAGTGTGATATTTCTATGTCATTTCCAAGTCAAATTCAACCTTTTCCAAGTCAAATTCAACCTTTTCCAGATCAAATCAAACTTTTTCCAAGTCAATTCAACCATTTCCATTTCAAATTAAACCTTTTCCAATTCAAATTCAACCGTTTTCATTTCAAATTAATGTTTTAATTTTTTGTAAATTTTATATTTTTTTTTTAAATAATGGCCATACCCTCCCCCCCTCCAATATGAAAGTCTATTATTATGCTCTTCTAAGTAGAATTTTCACTTACGGATATCGATTTATTGTAACTATTCGGATTTATTAGGGACTAGTATTATGCTGTCCTGTACCTAGTTTTGAAAATAACCTCCTTTTTAAGATTACGTGACTGAGTTTCGAATTATTTAAGTTTTTTTTTAATTATTCGATATAAGGGTGTATTTTTATGTTTCCCGATCAGTAAATTTTGAAAATGACCTCCATTTTAAGATTAGGCCACCGCGTTTCGACTTATTTGAGTTTTTCGGATATTTTTCATATGAGGGTTTATTTTTATGTTTCCGGAGCTGTAGATTTTGAAAATGACCTCCATTTTAAGATTAGGCCACTGCGTTTGGACTTATATGAGTTTTTCGGATATTTTTCATATGAGGGTTTATTTTTATGTTTCCGGAGCTGTAGATTTTGAAAATGACCTCCATTTTAAGATTAGGCCACCGCGTTTCGACTTATTTGAGTTTTTCGGATTTTTTTCATATGAGGGTGTATTTTTATGTTTCCGGAGCTGTAGATTTTGAAAATGACCTCCATTTTAAGATTAGGCCACCGCGTTTCGACTTATTTGAGTTTTTCGGATTTTTTTCATATGAGGGTGTATTTTTATGTTTCCAGAGCTGTAGATTTTGAAAATGACCTCCATTTTAAGATTAGGCCACCGCGTTTCGACTTATTTGAGCTTTTCGGATATTTTTCATATGAGGCTTTAATTTTATGTTTCCGGAGCTGTAGATTTTGAAAATGACCTCCATTTTAAGATTAGGCCACCGCGTTTCGACTTATTTGAGTTTTTCGGATATTTTTCATATGAGGGTTTATTTTTATGTTTCCGGAGCTGTAGATTTTGAAAATGACCTCCATTTTAAGATTAGGCCACCGCGTTTCGACTTATTTGAGTTTTTCGGATATTTTTCATATGAGGGTTTATTTTTATGTTTCCGGAGCTGTAGATTTTGAAAATGACCTCCATTTTAAGATTAGGCCACCGCGTTTCGACTTATTTGAGTTTTTCGGATTTTTTTCATATGAGGGTGTAATTTTATGTTTCCGGAACTGTTGATTTTGAAAATGACCTCCATTTTAAGATTAGGCCACCGCGTTTCGACTTATTTGAGTTTTTCGGATTTTTTTCATATGAGGGTGTATTTTTATGTTTCCGGAGCTGTTGATTTTGAAAATGACCTCCATTTTAAGATTAGGCCACCGCGTTTCGACTTATTTGAGCTTTTCGGATTTTTTTCATATGAGGGTGTATTTTTATGTTTCCGGAGCTGTAGATTGTGAAAATGACCTCCATTTTAAGATTAGGCCACCGCGTTTCGACTTATTTGAGCTTTTCGGATATTTTTCATATGAGGGTGTATTTTTATGTTTCCGGAGCTGTAAATTTTGAAAATGACCTCCATTTTAAGATTACGCCACTGCGTTTCGGCTTATTCAAGTTTTTCGAATTTATCCAACTTAAAGGTCTACTTTTATGATGCCAGAGCCTTAGTTTTTAAAACGATTTACATTTTAAGATTAGGCCACTGTGTTTCGGTTTTTTTTAAGCGTTTTTGATTTTTCCTTCGAATAAAAAACAAAATATGAAGGATTAATTTATTTTTCAATAAATAAATAAAAATATCTAATCAAAATAAATAAAATATGTATTGTCTCATTTTTAATTTAATTTTAGTTATCTTTTTTAATGTTGTGGTCTCCTGTCACAAAATTATAAGATTTCGAACAATTAGCTGAAAAATCTGAATACGGAAGGTTAAATTTATTACCAGCTGCTTTTCGGCTTTTTAGTTTGTATTCTGTGGTTAATTTAACTTTAGCTTCATAATATTTATTTATTTATTCATACTCGAAAACATATTGATGAAACTTTGTATTGTAAAAATCCAAAATGAAGCCTAATTATTCGAGATGCAGCGGCTTAATCATAAAATGGAGCTTAAATATTAGATAAATTTAAATATTAAAGATTAGAAAAATTTCAATGCGTCTCGGATAACATATAAGTAGATTCTTATACCGAAAAAGTAAAAAAGAAAAAACTTTTATAATCCAAAACACAGTGGCATAAACTTGAAATTGGGTCATTTACAAAATGGGGGAAATCTGCTGCTCCAGAAACATAAAATTAGACCTTTATACTTGTTAAATTCTAAAAACTTAAATAAGTTGAAACGCAGTGGCGTAATCATAAAATAGAGGTCATTTTCAGAATCTACGGTTCCGAAAACATAAAAGTAGACCTTTAAATTGGCTAAATTCGAAAAACTTAAATAAGTCAAAATTCAATGGCGTAATCATGAAATGGAGGTCATTTTCAAAATCTACAGCTCCGGAAACATAAAAATACACCCTCATATGAAAAATATCCGAAAAACTCAAATAAGTCGAAACGCGTGGCCTAATCTTAAAATAGAGGTCATTTTCAAAATCTACAGCTCCGGAAACATAAAATTACACCCTCATATGAAAAATATCCGAAAAACTCAAATAAGTCGAAACGCGGTGGCCTAATCTTAAAATGGAGGTCATTTTCAAAATCTACAGCTCCGGAAACATAAAAATAAACCCTCATATGAAAAATATCCGAAAAGCTCAAATAAGTCGAAACGCGGTGGCCTAATCTTAAAATGGAGGTCATTTTCAAAATCTACAGCTCCGGAAACATAAAAATACACCCTCATATGAAAAAAATCCGAAAAACTCAAATAAGTCGAAACGCGGTGGCCTAATCTTAAAATGGAGGTCATTTTCAAAATCTACAGCTCCGGAAACATAAAAATACACCCTCATATGAAAAATATCCGAAAAACTCAAATAAGTCGAAACGCGGTGGCCTAATCTTAAAATGGAGGTCGTTTTCAAAATCTACGGCTCCAGAAACATAAAAGTAGACCTTTATATTGGATAAATTATAAAAACTTAAATAAATCAAAACACAGTGGCGTAAACATAAATGGATGTCATTTTCAAAATTTACTGATCGGGAAACATAAAAATACACCCTTATATCGAATAATTCAAAAAAACTTAAATAATTCGAAACTCAGTCACGTAATCTTAAAAAGGAGGTTATTTTCAAAAACTACTCATACGATAACAGACCCACACATCGAAAAATTAAAGATAATTAAATAAATAAAAAAAGGTTGAATTTGAAATGGAAAAGGTTTAATTTGAAATGGAAAAGGTTGAATTTGACTTGGAAAAAGTTTAATTTGACTTGGAAAAGGTTGAATTTGACTTGGAAAAGGTTGAAATTGACTTGGAAATGCTATAGATAAGTGAAAGTAAAAACCAAAGAGTTCTATTTCCTTATTCTCTAAATATTTATTTAAATGTACCAGTATACTTACCTACTATAGTACATAATTTTCTTTCTCATATCATTTTGTGATATCAAGATATGGGTAATAAGTTTTAAAGTGTTCATATACTAAGGCGTGATAATTTTGAACCTATAACTAAAAATATTTTGTTCAAAATGAACTTGTTTGATGTTTGAATGTTGTGTCAATAACTGGTTCCTTTCCCTGTCGATAATTGGTTTTTGAATGTCAATAATTTGTGAAAATATTTGTCATCTATTGCGAGCCAAAAAAATTGAAAACTTTATAGTATTTTGGCCAATATATATAAATGAAATCTGTAAAACAGACTTGGACTAGTATGAAAAACTTTGAAACATATGGATAGATTAATTAATAAAAAAACTGATTAATTACTTAAAAATTTTCCTTTTAGTGTCAATAATTGGTGACTTTACCCTAATGATTTATTTTTTTTTTTAAATGGCCTAATGGATATTCCGATTTGAAGTTCAAATTACTCAGAAAGATCCTGTAAATGTTTTGTTCTTACCCTAAAGGCTCAACACATTGCCAAAAATAAAAACAATTAGAAAATACATCACAGAACTAATATTTTAAAGTAAAATTAATAAAATTTGGTATGTATTTCACTACAATTTTATTCCCAAAGTTATTTTACATAACAAAACTAAATGTATATTTTCTTTTATTATAATTTATCATAGATAATCCCATGTCACCCAGAAAAAAAATTGGGATTTATCTCAGACGCAAAGATTAATTAATTAAAATGAAACAAAAAAGAAAAGGAAGATAATAAAATGAGCATATATTCCACTATTGAAAAAATTCGAAACAAAAACAGAAAAAATATCTCAAAGACAGAAAAAAAAATTGAATGGACCTGTATGGTCAAAGGGCAGATAGGGATAAGATAAAAAAGTTTAACTACAAATTTTCATATTCTTGTGAAAGATATTCAACAATTTTATGAATTCACTCATATACAAACCAAAAATCTTAAATGAATACATATTCCTTTCATATAAAAATGAAGATCTCCTAAATACCTCTTAAAAAAATGGTGAAATGAAATTTTTTTTTCATACCTGGTCAATAATATCACCATTCTCAGCGTGTACCATAGGGACAGCACCTAATTCTTTACAGGTATCAAATGCACTGTACAAGTTGCTATCACTTAACATATACTCATTTTTATATGCCATAAACATTTTAAACGAATTTACTCCATGTTTGTTACAAAGTTCTTCCATTTCTTTTTTAACCTGCAATAAAAGTAATTAAAAACAAAAATAATTTGACAACAATATCAAAATAATTGATAAATTATTTATTTCCAAAATATCCAGAAAAGAAGTAAATTCACTGATATCATAATCATTGAAAAAACAAATCTAAAGTGAAATTTTGTAAAGTTTATAAAAGTCAAGACATTAGTGGAGTAGCAGATGGTACTAGAAATGAAAATGAAGTATAGAATGTTAATTAAAATCTGAGGTTACAGTCTTGAGTAAATTTTATATTTGTAAGGACATTAAAAAGAAATCTAGTGTGTCCACTTAAACAACTTTCCTACCTATTTCAGAAAAGTTTTTATAAATTTACATCTGTCCATCAAGAAACAAAAAAAAATTGAATTAGGTTTATTTTCCTGAAAATTGATCAAAGAAAAGATATTTTTGAGCAAGATTTATTTGATAAACTAAAGCAATGTAAACCGAATCATTCACCCCTTTCTGACGCCAGGATATGAACCCGTAATCTTACATTGGAAATTGAATAGCTGTATCATTGTTAATAGTTGTCCGAAATGAACAATTTTTATATAGTTTTGTAGGGAATTGCATTCTCTATCAAAAACACAGGTTAAACGGTTTTTGTTTTGTTCTTCGGACTCAGGGGGCTCTAAAACGTATAGATCTGTCGAAAACTGCATATCTCATCCATTTCATCTGATCGCAATACTTTCCTTACCTAGTATAGGTAGGAAAGCAATAAATTAAAACATGTGTAGAAAATAGAATAAGCTGTATCACCGCTAATACTGGTTCGATTGTGATAATTTTTTTTTTGGTCTTATTGTTAATTTAATTACCTTTCAAAAGTTTTATTATAAATTTTATCATAGAATTTATACTTAGCGAGTTAGGCCCCAAAACATTTTTTTCTTTAAAACTTTTTTTCCTGAATTTTCTAAGGAATTTAGTCCATATACAAAACTGAAAGGACAATTATTAGAACATTATAGGAAAGTTTCATCAAAATCGTTAGAGCCGTTTTTGCGCTACAGTCTACAGAAATACATGTTTTTAATTTATTGTGCAGCAGCTATTGCGCATGGAGCACCCAATTTATGTCACAGGGCTCTGTAGTCGAAATCCTACAAAATAAAAAAAGAAGCAACAAAATCGGCAGATAGACAGACAGACCAATGGCTAAAAATGTGTTTTTTGGACTCAGAGGGCTCTGAAACGTATAGAAACTGTATAGAAACAAGAAACTGTCGAAAACTGCATATCGGAAATTTAACGAAATCGCAATACTTTCCTTACCTAGAATAGGTAGGAAAGTAAAAAATAATCATGTAACCAAATAATTTACATTGCCTTAAAATGTGACAAACCCTCCATGTAAGTAATTTAAAATTGGACAACTTCTATAGTGGACAACTTCAAAATCATGTACAGAATGATCAAAATGAAAAATAATGTAAACAGTTTCATTTCGAAACCAATGTTCAGGTTAGTAGAAAAAAAAAGCTTTGAAAAAAGTAACAAGGGCAAAGTGAACCAACCATTATTGCAACAGCTGGAACTGATTAAGGATTATGCAAGATAGAAAGTAATGGATTATAATGATTGATAACAGTTTAATTTAATAAGTAATCTTATGGTACAATAAAACTGGGAACAATATTAAATCTTTCAGTAAAACAAGGAACTATATTCGGGTACTTGTGAGAGACGCGGGCTCTGCTAATCCTCTCTTCTTATCTTATCTTACGTCACCTTCTTATCTTATGTTATGTTACGTCACGTAACCTGCCCTTTTATCTAGTGTGAGCTGTTGCATGTGCGTTTATTCATTGTGCATTATTGAAATGGATGTAATTACATTGTGGGAATTGCCATCTTCAGAAGAAGAGGCTATCCAATTTTTTCAAGATGCAGGAATAATTGCAAAGGTGAAATATTGTGATGAAGGTCATGAAATGAAGTTCGACGGGAAGACAAATGGAGATGCTTTCGTAAGAGTTGTAAGAAAAAGTTATCAAAAAGAAAAGGGATATGGTTAGAGGGGTCGAAGATTACCTTTTCAACCGCTTTAAAATTTATTTATGGGTGGTCTCATAATTAGACAAGAATAAAGTGGGGCAAAGAGCAACTGAAACTATCGAACAAATGTATCATAATGTGGAACAAATTTTTAGGAGAGGTTTGTGCCTATAACATGTTATACAGGTCAACAAAGAAAATTGGAGGGCCTGGGAAAGTGGTTGAAGTAGACGAGTTTTTTTTCTAAACGAAAAAATCATATAGGGAGAGTTTTCTCTGAACAATGGATGTTTGGCGGAGTTTGTCGAGAAACAGAAGAGTTTTTCATCGTGAAAATAAAGGACAGAAAGGTAAGAACTTTATTATAATTTATTACAAATAATATAGAAGAGGGAAGCACCATTTATTCGGACTGTTGGAAAGGATACAACATCCAACAACTGAATGAAGCAAACAACAATCATTTCCAGGTGGATCACCGTTATAACTTTGTTGATCCATCAACTGGGGTCCATACTCAACATATAGAACGTTTATGCAGCTCAGCTAAGTGGAGAAATAAGAAACAGCGAGGAACTGTGAGGCAACACCTCGATTCATATTTATATTAATTTTTGTGGTGGCGTGCTCACAGAGAAGAGGATCCGTTCCTCGCTATTTTAAATAGCATTAAGCTATTTTTCCTTCCAAAATAAATAAATGAAATAAATTATGTATGTTGTAAAATAAAAGTGTTGTTGTTGTTATTTCTATTTCTTATTATTAAATTACTATATTATTATTATATTTATATTTCTTAAATATATATATATATATATATATATATATATATATAAAAGAGGCAACACCAAATATATTTAGATTTCTTATTACAGGAGAGTCTAATTTTTTATGATGGTAGGGATTATCAGTGCCTTATAACAATTATCAGTGTTCAGGTTATAAACATTGGTAGATAGCAGTTTAATGTGCCCATGTCGCTCAAAAGTACCAGAACTATATTCATGATGATTGGCATTATTTTATATTCAAAAATAATATAATAGATATAACACACAATAACATAACATATACATATAAAATAATAATAAAACATGAAGTATAAATACAGTTGAGAGAATCCTATTAAGTTAAACTTTAAATAAATCATGAAAAACTTATTAGCTCAACAGAGTTCATAAATTACTTAGATACAAGATTATATACTTTTCAGTGTATATCAGATTAGGAGGAAATGGATAAAAAATGTTTGGTAAAGAACAATAAACATTTTTAAAATAAAAAGTGAAAAGAAAAATCCAAGGTTATACTGCATTTAATTATTTCAGTCAAAGAAATTTTATTGTAACGTTATCATATGTTGTTAAACTGTTTTGAAATTTGTATAAGAACATACCTCATCTGACCACCAAGTAACACAAGCATGCAGTGAATAATCACAACAAATTTGGTCATCAGCAGCATTCCGCCTTAAGTAAAAGGCTTCTACTAATGACTCTCCATTTTCAGGAAAAACAAAGTCCACTAAATAAAAATAAATATATAGATTACACATGAGTAAAATAATTATTTTATAATTCAATTTATGTATCTATTTTCTCAACTATTATAACTATATTGTATTATTCATTACTCCTTAATTTTGAAGAGAAATTATTGTGACAGATATATAATATAATAAATAATAAATATATTGACATCCAAGGAGAACCTTAATAAATTTAATATTGCCTCATACATTTTGAGGAGTGATATTTACATAATAAAATCAATGTAAGCCATACAAAGGAATAAAATATGTGCATAAATCAAAGAATTGCTGATATTTGAAAATATTTGACACCCTTTTAGTGGCTGCTGCCAACTGCAGGAGAGATTGTGAAACTTTATCACACTGTCCTAGCAGCCACTAAGGAAACTATATTTCAGTCAGTTGGACAATTGTCTTAATATTTCACATTGATTACTATCTTATTATGGTATACTTTGCTATGCAAAAATATTTCAGAGTATAATTATATCAAAATGTGTCATTTATGCAATAAAATAAAAGAGAAAGATTTTCCAATCCACACTAAAATAATATCATATAACTTGCACCTTTCAGCAGCCTCGTTAAGCCATGAGGTTTGACCCTTTGATCAATTCATTCTCCAAGCTTAATGGTGTATACACAACTGTGAGCCCTGGACACTTACCAGCAACCTAGAAAGAAGTATTGAAAGATATGAGAGGAAAATACTCCACAGGATAACTGGAGCAATCTGGGATCAGAGTACTAACCCGTAAAGGAGAAGAACCAACAAAAAACTACTAATAGAAACTATCCAATCAATATATCATGATATTAACGTAAGGAGATGAAGATGGGCAGGACATGTAGCTCAAAACAATCCACCAGGAACCCTCTAGACAAAAATTAATGCCTCTATAGTTCGCAAAAGCATTTGGGAGACCAAAAACTAGATGAATAGATAGAATCCACAAAGATGCTGCAGAGATCAATACACCAAACTGGAAACCAATAGTTTAAGATAGGCAGGGATGGAGAAGACTGTGATTTACTGGCAAAAGATCTACGAAGTACGTAAAGACAAAAAAAAAAAATTGAATTTTTTCCAATCTGAAAATATACAATTTATCCACAATCTTTATATAAGTCTTAATCTTGATGAAGATTAATCAAAAGTAAAAATAAACATAAATGATTTCATTTTTTTATGCAATTGGGATTTTATCTTAATTTTATCATCTATTAAAAAATAAATAAATAAAAAGCCTATACCACTACAACCTTTAGAGGGTCTTGGGTTTAGTAATAAGCAAGTACTGTTTCTAGTCCAACGGTAGTCCAAGGAGGTGATTTGGCCAGGCTTATACTTATGCTCAACCACCAGGTTTTTCATGTAAATAACAATGACATGACAACAAATAGCAGTGCATATACCACTTATACTTATACCCAAGCACCAGGTTTTTTACCTAAATAAGAATAACACGACAACAAATAGCAGTGCATCTCCTATGGACTTGTGAACATGTTGATTGGGCTCATGAGGCTGATTGACATTTTGAAGTGCGGAAAGAGCAAAAGCAACAATTTAATGCAGGTATGCCAGAGTCTTTTGGAGGATATTCAATAATAGTCTGGATTGGGATATTTAGTAATTGAAAAATTCAGCTGATATTGCTCAGGAATGTGATCACACAAAGGTACCTGAACAATATCATAAGGCTTATAATTTTTCCTTATCACAAGAAATCAGTGAATCATTCAATTTTTTTTTATGATAATGCCTGCTGTCAATGAAGTGTGGAAACCCATCATTAATAAATGTACCCATGGTAATGAAAATATGTCATACAAAATACATATAATGTAATATTTTAGATGAGATATTTTGTAAAATTCAAAGCATCAAAAAGAAGAAATTACAAGATGTATTGAATGAAATACTCAATTAAATGAATAAAATTTCCTTGTATGCCTCTCATAAGGCATCCAAGATCTTGTGATCCCATGCTGGAATATTAATGTCCTTTAGTTGCAGGCCTCAATTTTGTCCTGTCTTGCGAGATGTGGTCCATTCAAGATAGTCTAGGTCTTTCTCTTGAGCACTTTCCTATGGGTCATGCTTCCATATATTTTCCAGGGCCATGGTCCTCATTCATTCAACATAAATAACCAAACCATCTTAATCACCTCTTTTCCAGGAAATCCTTTAATGAGATAGTAATGAGGTCCTCTCTTGTATTTTCTTGTCTGATTAGGTCAGCCACTCTGCGGGGATATTTTATTTCACTACCAGTAACTATTCTAGGGTGTTTGTTTAACGTGACCCAGCTTTCCCTCCCATATAAAAGGGTAGGTAAGTATAAAGCTTCCAAAAATATTTAATTTTAATTCTTAAGCATTCTCCTCTACCTCCATTAGAAATCTTTCTGTCAACCTCCTATTCCTCCTATTTACTGTACTTTAATAGGTGTAATCATCCACCATTTCAGTTACTCTACCTTGCAGTAAATTTTTAATTCCTCTTAAGCATATGCTTAGGATATACATTACGTTACTCTTTCCAATATAAGGTACCACTGCTTTTCTCTCTGGCTCAACCTTCCAACCACTATTTGTGCTGTCTGCCATTTACATATCCTCATAATTTAATCCATAGATATAATGAAGAGGAGGGGGGAGGGGCTCAGGCTATCTTCTTGATTTACATATTTTTTTATGGTAAAGATATCCGACTCTTTTCTATTTATTCTAATGATGCCAATAGAATTATCGTACATGGACCTTATAGCTTTGATCAATCCTTGTGAAGAAGCGCTTTCCACAGTTCTTGTCTAGAGACAGATGCAAATTCAAACATTTATGCCTAGAAATATACTTCTGCTCCAATCCAAGACATATCAGTTATTATCCTTAGTGAGTGTAAGTAGTCATGGACATTGAGACCTAAATGCAGCTTGCTCCTCTTTCAAATATCTCTCCACCATAGCTCTAAGTTTATTTTTCAGTATCAATATATATATTTTATACACAATCTTTTAGAGGTAGATGTGTCTTTAATTTACTTGTTCATATGTACGTCCTTTCTTATGTATTGGGAAAATACTTCCAATAATTTTACTTCCACTTTTCTGGAATAGCTTTATCAGTTACAACTTTCTGTAAGAGCAGTGTATGGTTTTCATCAATTCAGGCCCTCTATATTTTACGAATTCTGGGATGATGCCTTCTCTACTAGCTGCTTAACAATTGTTTAATTTTTCAACGGTACTTTTGAGCTCCTCTTAAATGAAAGAAAAAAAAATTACCATTATCACCCCTTAAATTGTAATAAAGTAAGTAACATTTAGATATTACTTAAAAAAATATCCAAAAAAAAAAAAATTGTAAGGGCTTCATATCCCAATATCTATAAATTCACATGAGTTTAACATGAATTACATAAATAAAATCATTTATACGAGAAAATACAACAAATAAAGAACTTGTAATCTGTTCCCATAATAAAAAAATAATTAAGTTAGTTTTTATCCATCAGAATAAAAACAATAAAACCATGTCAATGTAAAAGAAACTTACTTATCATCGTAGTCCCTCCAGCGATTGCTGCTTTAGTCCCTTGATAAAAATCATCAGCTGATTTTACACCAGATTTCTCAAATGCAAAATGAGTGTGAGGATCGATTCCACCTAAAATAAGATTAAATTTGTAATTTTTTTTATTATTAAAACAGTGGAGTGTGGTAATTTAATGTAACTTAAATAGGTGATGAGCACATAAACAGAGATTTTTTTACATAACACAGAAGTTGGATCTAGTTTTTTCATTGCATGGATAATACATTAGAATTTGGTACTACTGAATAAAAATTTATCCAAATAACTAATTCAATAATTTTTTAGTCATGAATAATTTTACAAGTTATTGATTTTTTTTTTAAATTATTCATTACTCATTATTTTTTTATAAATAAAATATTTTGTAAAGTACTTGGTTCTACTTTAATACCCTTTGTTGTAAGTGTACTTTTTTGCAGAAGGCTATATAAGGAAGCATTTATTTTTATTTCAGTAATGATATTCAACTCTGCTTTAACATTTATTGCGCGTGCAATTATTGAAAATTAAAGATGAAACTCTTTTAACAACTGGCATCCATAGACACTCAGATACACAGATTGGGAGATATAATGCAGATAAATGAACATTTGACTTCATTGGAAATAATATTAGATGGAACATTCTTAAAGATTATAGAAGAATGTGATGTTGATAATTCTGTTATTATGAAATGTAGACCACAGAATTTAAGGCCATTAATTCTCTTTATCAAACTTTATTATAATGTTTGAGCAAATCAGTTTTAAAAATTCAAAACTTTGGCATACATACATCGTATAACTAAAAAAAAGTCTTACCTAAACTCACTTTCACAAGTGCAATATTTTATTTTAAGATTTTATAGTAGTAACTATTTAGTTTCTCAATAATATTTTAATAATGTAGTTATAAATAATATATATACAAAAACTAGCTAATTACTAACATACCAGGTAAGACATACATTCCTCTCACATCGAGAATTCTTGTACCACCAGGAATAATAAGATTCTTTCCCATTTCCCTAAAAAAAAAAACAGATACTAAATAATAATGCAATTTAAAAACAATAATTTTAAGCAGGTTTATCATTAAAAAAACACACATAAAATCCATTTAAGTTATTAAATATTTTATAAAAGTACATATCTAACGAAATCAATCCTTGGAGACTTATTTATAAATATTTCCATACAAGCACACTACATAGAACTGCTGGAAATTAACTCCTTAGGGGTAACGTTGCTCCAAAACTAGAATAATTTTTTTGCACACATAAATCAAAATTTAAGGAATAACATACTTAGGAACGACTTTTCTATAAAACTAGAAGTTAGTTCTGTATGATGTGCAAAGTAGCTTCTGGATGTAGACAACAAAACAGTAATTCTAATTCTGGAGTAATGTTTTCATCCAAGGTGCAAAGTTCTGCCATTTTATAGTTCCATCAATGGGAGTCAACCACATAGAAATTGGATGAATAGCTAAGAGACATTAAAATTACTATTGGGTGTTCAAAATTCACTCTAAAAACTCACAAAATCCTAATTTTGTAGATGTAATTCTTCAAAATTCAATAGATAGATAATTTTTTTTGTTTAATTTTTATTTTATTGAATGTTAATACAATCTGCCACATTAAAGGGCAATAGTATTAGGGCAACAGTAATCATTCAAGCAATATGTAAATACAAAAGGGAATAAATATAAATAACTATAATAGAGAAAATAAACAAAAAGAAATAAAATAAGAAAATCAATATACATATGTACAGATAATAAAGTAATAGATTAAAGCTGAATGAAATTAAAATCAATAAAACGCATTCACACCTATATACAATATTATCTAATAAATTAAAATTGTTAGAACCAAATAATTTCTAGGTTAGTAAAAAATTCTATAGTATCTTACATACAACCACCTAAGCTTAAGAGCACAAGTACACACACATAAAATAATTTAAAATATAATAAACTTTCGTCCAATACAAAAATTTGACCTTACAGTGAACATTTCTCTGAAAAAGATGCAGATTTATAATATTATAAATTAATGCATGCACTTATTGATTAAAAATCATTGAATAATATACTTTATAATTCCATCTTCAATATAAACATCAGTATCAATGATTTCATGGGCATTAACAACCTTCCCGTGCTTTATAAGAAGTCGATTTTGGGAACTCTGTAAAAAAAAAAAAATAAAATAATAATTTTTTTCTTAAGATGAATACTAAAGATATTTCACAGTTACCATGCCAAAAGTTTAATGGTTTTAGAATCAACATTAATAAAATCACTGTGCAAACATTGTAATATATTACACATAACATTTTATTACACTAAAATCAACAGATAATGCATCTAAAATAATGTTGATTTAAAAATGCTAATTAACTAATGAGAAAAAAATAAAAAACCCTAATATTAAGAAATTATTGGAATATCTCAAGGTAAAGCTTCATGGCTCTCAAATAGCAGTATATAATTATTTATTTGGTATGATTTGAGATGTTTTAAGCTTTGTGCTGGAATCTTCTAATAATATCATAATAGGAAGGTTTTTTTTTAATTATATTTTTTAGATATTAAAATAGTTATAACAGGGTGAAAATAATTGAAAAACTTAATGGCAACAGCCTTAATTTATATCAATACTTCAAGATGGCTGTTTCAAGAGAAATATAACATATGGCAAGGAAGATGTTATGGATGAAAATATATTTTTAACAAATTCAATGTAGGACATTTAAAAAAAAAAAAATATTATTGAATAAATCAATTGTAAGATAAAATAATAATCAACAATTGATAATATTTATAGACTGTGGTTACGGTAGTAAAGATGAAAGCACTGCGTTTAAGAGGAACTAAAAATCAAGCTGAGCACCATCAACCACACCATTGAAGCTCAGATTGCTAATAATGCTTCTAACTGAAACATATTGAGGTTTTCACTTATGAAGTCCAATTTTGGGGTTAGGGAAGAGAAGATAGACGAATTGTTACAGATATCAATAATATATATCCCAATATAAAATTCACAACAGAAATAGGTCCAAATAAAATTAACTTCCTTGACTTGACGATTTCAATTGACAATAATTCATTAACATTTGACATTTATAGAAAACCGACTACTACAGACATAATAATACCGTTTGACTCTTGCACCCTTGGTCACAAAAACTCAGCACTTTTTACTGGCTAGCACTTGACGATTTCAATTGACAATAATTCATTAACATTTGACATTTATAGAAAACCGACTACTACAGACATAATAATACCGTTTGACTCTTGCACCCTTGGTCACAAAAACTCAGCACTTTTTACTGGCTAGCACTTGACGATTTCAATTGACAATAATTCATTAACATTTGACATTTATAGAAAACCGACTACTACAGACATAATAATACCGTTTGACTCTTGCACCCTTGGTCACAAAAACTCAGCACTTTTTACTGGCTAGCTAATAGATTACAAAAATACCTTCATCCCTCAACAAAATTAACAAAGAAAAGGCAATCATTTTTTAAATTGAATCAAATAATGGGTACACTACAGAAATTACTGAAAAAACATTTAGGAAAATTGAATTTGAATACGCAACTTACAACAGTCTATAATATAATAATATTAATGATTTCAGAACAATTATATAAATAGGTCTTGATACTTATAAAATTAATAGTATTTTTAAAAGAGACAACAAAATTTTGGCCTTAAACCTTTTACAAGTTTAAAAAACATGGTCTCCAGGACTAAAGATCGAGTTGATCCTTTAAATAAGAGTGGGGTCTATTCGATAGAATGTTAATGTTCTTAAAAAGCAGAATTAAAGAACACCTCCCTGGTTCAGGCCATGTATCACATTTTAAAGATCATTTTTTAAATTGTTCACACCTACAAAAAAGTAATAAGGTAAAACTGTTGCATGCCATTTCAAAAGGGAACAGAATGGACTGTATTGAAAAATTAGAAATTAAGAAAAGAATTATAAAAAATGAAGTAATATGCCTGAATGTACAAGATACTCAATTTAAGGATTCTGCACTCATAAAATTAGTGGCTGCAAATGAAAACAATACGTAGGGGTAGTGATAGCCCATCTAGGCAATAGTTTTATGTTTTAGTCCTCATTTGACAATCAGGAGAGGAGGACCACCATCAGTTAGGTGATTACCAGTTTTATTAATTAATTTATTAAGATTGGATTTTAAATTAGGTTTTATTATTATTTGCAAAAGTTTTTATTTTTGTTGTTATTTTAGTTAGCCTGATGAAGGTCTGGTAAAAGACCGAAACTGGTTGAGCAAAAGTGAACAATAAAGGAATATACAGGAAGAAAACGTCTTTTTTATTAAATTAAATTTCAATCCTGTAACATCATGCCACAATTAAAGAATATTTCATAACATTATTGCTTTAACTTACCAATTGCTATTTATATCAAATGTTTTATGTTAAATAATAAGAGTTGTGCAAAATAATTATTTCACCCAATGCAAGTATTTTAAGCATAATTATTTCACATAAAATAAATATTGTAAAAATATTCGTGGTAGATACCAATATAATGTTTAAAATCCATGTCTAGTGGTTTGTATTTGAAACATTACATTGTTTAGATATTGTATAATTTATTACCTATTTCATAAGGATCTATTATAATAAAATATAAATATATAAAGTTACAGGTATGTAATAATAATTTTTTTTTTTTAATTACGTATTAAATTTGTTATATGTTTGTAATTTGGTCAATATAGACAATTAGATATTATTTAGTCAATACCTGGGTTGATAGTAACTCGAACACGCTAGTAAAAAAAAATTAAATAAATAAAAAGATAGAGTGCTACCAATGGGTAGTTTCTCAACAAGCGTTTTCATGTGATTTTATTATTACTGTGTGCACATTTACTAGTTGTATTTTTTTTTATAATACAGTTATAAATATCAATGAATAAAAAAAAAAATAAATAAAAAGTGATGGTAGTCACACTAAATTCAACGTTCCCATGTGTTAAATCCTCAATAACTTACAAGGTGATAGGTTGGGGCAAAACCTACTGAAAATTGTTTTTAGAAGTTCAAACCTATGTTAACAATAGGGAGATCTGGTTTTTCAGGCATTTTTTGAAATGGACCAAAATTGCTTGCAATTGTTTGAAATGTCGTAATAACTATGCATATATTTAAAAATGGATGTTACAGCTGTCTTAGGATTCAGTAGAAGTAAGTACCTAATTCCGCCCACCACATACCGTTAGGTTTGAACAAAACATGCCACCAAACCAGCTCTAAATATAAAAAAAAAATGGTTTTCATTTTTTCTCCAATTATCTCACACCAGAGCATTATTAATGCTCTAATTAAGTTAAAAATTACTGGATGTGAAGAGGAAATAATATTAGTTTGTCACTAATGGAGTAAAACTTCCAAATTGTAACTTTTGTTTTTTCTCCCAATGTCCAACTGTAGCATTAGCTCGCCACAGTGTGTGATGCAACAATATTCACATAAATAGGAATCCAGATGTTGCCACGCAGTTTCTCAATGTTTTTTTATTTCTCCAATTAGCTGAGACCCATAATTGTTCTGAGTTAAGTATGGACCCCACTTGAAGGATCAATGAAGTTATACTGGTGATTCACCTGAAAATGGTTGTAGTTTGCTTCATGTAGTTGTTGGGTGCTGTATCCTTTCCAACAGTTGGAATATATAGTGGTTCTCTCTTCTATATTATTTTTAATATATTCTAATGGAGTTGTTACTTTTCTGTATTTTATTGTTATCATTTAAATATTTAATTTAAAAATTTAAATTTAAACTTGTCTGTTTCCCCATTTCATGACCTTCTTCAAACAACTTCACATTTGGAATTAATCCGAACTTCTGAAAGTATTTGGCAGCTTCTTCTCCCAAAGACGGCAATTCCTAAAGTGTTATGATATCCATTTTAAAAAGAAAATAACCAAATTAACAAAAAAAAAAAAAAAAAAAGAAACAATTGAATAACGCACAAGTAACACAAAGATAACAAGAGGTTACATGAGAAAAGAAGGGCGGTTTCATGGTGACTGGCTAAGTCACAAATACAGAAACATTTAACATTAATACGTCGAGTAGTGGTGTCAGATCCACTGAAAAGTGGATGTGGTTGCGAGTGACATAATGTGTGAGAACCCTTGTTTTAAGCAAATAAATCATAAAACCTATTTTCAACTAGAGCGTACTTTTAACTTGTTATAATCTAATAAAAATTAAAATGAATGGGACCTCTACCATCTGGAAACCACTACTAAATAATTACACAGATTGGTAATGCTGCAGTTTTTGAATTTTTGGTTTGGCAGTACAGATCACATCATGAGTTTATATAGAGAAGACTATATAAATTTAATCAAACTAGAAGGAAAGCTCTTACCTGTAAATGTATGGGTACTTTTTTCACAGGAGCACTCATTTCTAAAAAAAAAAAATTAATGATTAGTTTTTAACTTTATAAGGTGTATAATAAATAATTATACTTAAAAGATTATACAAATCTGTCACACTATGATAATCATTAGGACAGGATTGGTTGATTCCAAATACAAAGCATTAAGTCCCTAAAATACAGGTAAACAATAAACATCATGCCATCATCATCATGCCAAGACCACAAATATGTAGATGTCCAATGAAATACTATACAAGAATATATTTGAATGACTAAGAGTGATGTACTAATTGATATGTCTTTTATGGACTGCCAGCGTGGGATGTGTTGTGATCTCATTGATTAGTTTGCATATACATGATCTTAGTTGTATCTGTTCTGATGATGCCTGAATGGAAAAATGAAGATAAAAGGTTAATTGTTTACCTGTAACTTAAGGCTTTTAAAGGTAAAACACACCTAAGGATGCCTGGATATGCCCTATGTATACAGCTGGATTTTTTGTAATTTTAAAGTTATGATATTATTTTCCCAAAACACGAATTAAAAAAGATTATAGGTCACAATTGGCATTCTAATCGGCCAGTAGACTATTTTCCTATAATTATATAAATATATATGAATGATCAAGTAGAGAGCAAAAGTATTAAAAAGACGAGAATGAATAACATTTGATGTAAATTTTAAAAAATGTTTAATTTTTTGTCGGTCCATAGAATTGACTTTTCATAAATAAATTATGAAAGTTATAATTAGAAGAATGTGAGGAGAAAATTTTTTTACAATAATTATATAAAAAATAATATTACATAGATGATATGATAATAATATAAATATTTCGAATTGAAAATGGACAAAATTGCCTGAAACGTCGTCGAGAAAATTAAAATGAATTGAAGCATGGAATGGAGGCATAAAGCGATTTTCCTCAAAATTATAAATTTTATTTAGAAGTTATGATATTATTTTGCCGAAACTCGAATTAAAAAACAATATAGGTCACAATTGGCATTCTAATCGGCCAGTAGCCTATTTTCATATATATATTTTGTTTTTCCTTTTTTTTTTCTGTCTTTTTTTTCGGTTGGCACAACAGACCAAGAAGATCTTTGGCCGCGAGATGTGGTCTCCTTACAGACGTATGCTGCTTGCGGGAGCTCAGATAGCCTGGAGGGGGTCACCCAACCTCCCTTTGGGGCCAATCTGGCAATGTCCTTCCCACCGACACGCTCGGGTTCAAGGACAGTGACAAATCGGTCTATATCCATGGATTATGGCTGCTCAGGGTCAGCAGGCGCACGAGGACCTATATTTCTTTCCAAGAAACATGGACCGTCCATCGATGGACCTATACTCAAGCTGGGCTATTAACATTCTGGTAAACCATATTCCGATTTCTGATTTAAGTACAAGAGGTAGGGTCATCAGTCCTACGCCCGGTCGGTGTGAGTTGCCTCCAGTAGTCTGACGGGCCTCACATACCCGGGGGGGGGAGCTCTGGCAGCATTGCTTTCTCTGGTGGATGGACACCAAAATTGGGCGGTAACCGATCCAAGTACTAACCACGCTCGACGTTGCTTAACTTTGATTACCTATTGCAAGCACCTTAGCCCGTACGGCTACCCCAGCCCCATATATATGAATATATATCTATATATATATATATTTTATTTTTTTTCGGTTGGCACTAAAGACCATGAAGATCTTTGGTCGCGAGATGTGGTCTCCTTACAGACGTACGTTGCTTGTTGGAGCTCAAATAGCCTGGAGGGAGTCATCCAACCTCACGTTGCTACGAACCATGTTCTCCATGGTGAAGGGGCATGCCAACCGTAGCTCCATAGCCGATCCCTTTGGGACCAATCTGGCAGTATCCTTCCCATCAACTCACTCGGGTTCAAGGACAGTGACAAATCGGTCTAGATCCATGGATTATGGCTGCTCGGAGTCAGCAGGCGCACGAGGACCTATATTTCTTTCCCCGAAACAGGCCGCCCATGGACCGAACCTCAGGGAGGTTACTAACATCCTGGTTAACCACATCCCGATTCCCGATTTAAGTACATGGGGTAGGGTCATCAGTCCTACGCCCGTATATATATATATATATATATATATATATATATATATATATTATATATATATATATATATATATATATATTGTAGAGTATAGATAAATGATAAAGTAGAGAGAAAATTTGAATACTAAGTTTGTAAATTATAAAAAATTAATGTTACATTGCTTTTACTTTGTTCTCGATCTCCGGCGCCCCCAGGGATGGGCTCCCACCCACGCGGTGCAGCAGTCATAAACCTATTCTATAGTCATCTAACATTTCCACTTTAAGATTTAGGCACTCATTAGGACAATTAAAAATCAGTGCCAGCCTGTTGCCGACAATCGGCAATCCCGGGCAATGACTTCATCCCCCCTCGCCCTAAAAATTAAATTTATTTCTTAGGCTGTTTTATAATTTCATATTTGAATTTTACTTCATTCAACATTTCTATAATACAGTTGCTATGTTTATAGGCTGAAATTAATCACTATAATACGTTTGGTATTTTTTTTTCTAACAAGTGGTGAGCGCTCCTGAAGATCGGCAACCGCCCCGCTTGCCCCACCCTAACGCCGGCACTGTTAATGATGGATATAAAACTTCTCGCAATATTTGATTTATCCACTTCAATAGCCATCATTCATGACTCATTTGCAAGCCATCATATAATAAAATAAGTCTTATTATTAGTGTGTAGTTTCATCTCCAAACGTATCTCCAACCAACTCCCCTACTAAATAATAATTATCACTTATTTTTTAATGATATTTTTTTTTTCGTTCTCAGTTATTTTTGTGAATACGCATTTATTATATATATATATTTTTTTTTTTTGCATAGACAAGTGCTTTGTAAAAAACTCAGACTAAGAAATCGATGAGGTTCAAGCACTGGCGTCGTCTCAATCATCGGGAGGAGGGAGGCACAATATACAGTGAAACTTCTCCTAGCGGACAATTCTCTATAGCGAATAATTTCATTAACTCCATCAAATTTAAAATTACAGTGGACTCCCGCTTATTCGTCCTCGTAAGGACCGATACATCGCCGGTTAATACAGAGGGTATAAAAAAAAAATAATAATACTATTATTTTAACTTCTATATTGCGTTAAAATCTATAAACAAAGATCATTCAATGATACAACTCGTTTTCTTTTTTTTAATTATTTAATTGAACGAAAGGAGTGACAAAATTTAAACAAAAAAACAGTACACAAACAAAAACTTCGACTCAAACCTTCCACACGAAAACCTGTCATGTCTGACGTCGATAATAAGTGAAATTACAGTCACTAGCATTTAATATTGATTGGGAGGGGGAGTGGGAGGAAAGGGCTTTAGCCCGAATTTTTTTTTTTTTTTTATATATATATAAACACACACACACACGATAATTGCTTTGGAAGAAAAAGAAAGAAACTAAGTACCTATATGAAATGATGTTTAAGTGATATTTGAAGTTCTATTAAATGGAATTAGAGAAACAATAATACTTTTAGAGATAAATTTTTTCATATAACTGGGATATATTTTACTATTTTGGGGAGGGTTTCAGCTCGAAAGTCCAACCCCCCCCTCCCCCACCGTAGATCAGCCTGTGGTTACAGTACTCAACAGTACTGCGTCGGTAATTAGGCAGAATTTATGTTTTTATTTTTATAAGAAATAATCGAAGGATAAGGATTTAGTTTCAAGAATCAATTATACTTCGAATAGATTTGTTTTATTAAGGTTCAGTCAATTGTAAAAAAAAATAAACAAAAACCTTTAATCTATGGAACCGCCACACAACAAATTTATTTTCCAGCCATGTTGGGCTATTATAAAATTTTTGAATTGCATTTTTAACTGAGCTAAAGCTAAAAGATTAGAGCTAACAAACTTAAATACTATTAAAATAACAAAAGGCCTATTTATTATATCAAAGGTTGATTATTAATTTTACGATTCATTGATTATGGATTGTAGGATTCGTTGATTATGGATTGTGCGACGATTAGTTATTGAACTGTTATTTTCCATTGCAAAGTTTACTAAAACGGATTAGAGATTTGCAGTCTGTCATAGACAGGTCAAAAGTTGTCTATGACACTAATTGTAAGTGGATTCTGTTGGAATGTCGCTAAGGGAAAATTTATCAAATTATTCACTAATTTAATTTTCTAAAAGGTTACATAATGATTTTTCAGAATAAAAGGACGATAGATACTTAATTATTTAAATATAATATCAGATCTAGAATTATTACAATGCAGTAAATATACTTAAGGTTATAAACGTATCCATCAAATATTTTAAATATATATTGAATACTTGTGATTTACGTTAAATATTATTAGTTTTCAAAAATTATTACTTATATTCTTTTCGCCACTCTCCGTTACCTTCTACAACTTTCTATATTAGATATTGTGCTTTTTAAAAGTCTGCGCTATCCAGCGATATATTATACATATACTTTCTGACCATTTTTATTTTTTCTCCTTTATTCAATTATCAAATTCTTTCAAAAACTATATTTAGAATTTTTTCGTAACTTTTAATAATGAGGGATAGTTAATTATTTGAAATGAACCACATTAAAGGCACTTTAGAGGAACACGTTTATGAACATTGGGCATTTAAGCCCTGTAAAGTGACATAAACGGGGATAAGAACTAAAGGGTATTAAAGACCGCTTAATTATCCAATGATACACCGATTTTAAACAAAATCGTCAGAGCCGTTTTTGAGAAAATTGCAAAAATGTGTTTCACCGTTGACATAAAGTGGCATTTCCGATTAGTCGAATTTAAGGAAAAAGTTGCTAGAACATCTAAGGCATATACATATCTTAAATACGTAATATCAGTTTCATACGACTTTTCGTTTTCGAGCTGTAGTGTTCACATACACACAGACTCACTGACCATTTTTCGGGACTTAGTTATTTCGACTCAGGGTACCTCAAAACGTGTATTTC